CTTAACCTACCAGTTGAGAACTACTGCTCTAGACCCAACTACTAAACTAATTAGAGTAAATAGCAATACAACACAATAAAATTACTTAAACTAAAACTAGTAAATAAATAAATGTGGAATATAATTTTCAACTCTTTCACTTCAACAAATTAATTATTCTAGCCAATGAAGCAGGTGATATTTTATTGTATTTTGCACAGAACATTCTAACAGCGATGGATCATACATGGCACCCAGAACATTTTTTCTGCGCCCACTGTGGAGATCTGTTTGGACCTGATGGTGAGACAACCGCAGATTCAGTCATTATTTGAGAAATCACGTTTTGTACTGAACGAATCTGTCTTTTCCAGGTTTTATGGAGAGAGATGGTAAACCATATTGCTCTAGGGATTTCTACCGCCTCTTTGCACCCAAATGCTCTGGCTGTGGAGAGCCAGTGAAGGAGAACTATCTGTCTGCAGCCAATGGAACCTGGCACCCTGACTGCTTTGTATGTGCGGTGAGTGAATTAGTTGCATTGAAGGCTGGAATGCAATACAGTCATGTGACTCACTCCTTATAAATAAGGAATATGGAGTCAGTCAGTCTGTACCATTGTGGTGAGCTTCAAAGGTGAATTCTTCACCTGCTCAATCGATCACTCCAGAACATTCTTTTTCATTAAATGTTTCTGCATCTCTCCAGGACTGTCTGAAGCCTTTTACAGATGGTTGCTTCCTTGAGTTGAACGGTCGGCCCCTCTGTTCCCTGCACTATCACTCTAGACAGGGCACTCTGTGTGGGACCTGTGGAGAGCCCATCTCGGGTCGCTGCATCGCTGCTCTGGACCGCAAGTTTCACCCTGAACACTTTGTGTGTGCGTTCTGCCTTCGGCAGCTGAGTCAAGGTGTGTTTAAGGAGCAGGGAGGGAAGCCGTACTGTTCGGTATGTCACGAGAAACTCTTTGTGTGAAAGAAGTGACGTGATTCCAGAAGCGTTTTCTTCAATAAGAACAATATTTAGAGAGGGACTTCAGCTTGCATCATGATAATTTTTTTAGATTTCATTTAAGATTATTTTAATATATTAGTAATAATAAAAAAACATTTTTAAGTCACACTGTGACCCTCTGGAAGTTTGCTAAAACCACTGTTTTAGAAAGAAATAGCAAGAAGGAAGGAGTGATACATACACCATTTTTCTATTTTGTTTGAGAAAAAAAACTTTTAAACTATAGCAACATGTTTAATGTCATTATTTCATATCATTTTCACGATTCTAATACATGTTCATACAAGTAAAGGATTCATTGTCTTTTACTTAAGTAGACTATGCCATTAATTTAATTTTGCACTCATAGCATAACAAAACAAACATACATCTCGGCTGGCCTTTGAGGAGATTTCTGGGTCTTGTAAATGCTATTGATGTACTGTTATTTCTTTTAGGTTTCAATGATTAAGAAGACTCAAGATTCTAATTAACATAATACCATATGTTTTCATAGCCTATGCGTTACAGTGACATCATGGGGACATTTTCTGTAAACATTCAAAAAGGGTTAGAATAACACCGACCATCATTTTCTTGATTGAATATACATGAACTCTACAGAAGCCGGTAGATTTTGTTGTGTGCATGTCAAGATCACATGAGTGAACATCCCTATAGGCATTGCTCAAGATCCCTTGTTTTGTCAGTTCACTGCACTGTTACTCAGGGTTCAGTCAGGGAGTAAGTTAAGGACGAGCCTTCTCATCTTCAAAGAATGCTCCTTGATGGTAAGACATGAAAGCTGCTTTCTGGGAGGATGGGTCAAAGATCAAGATGTTAATCACACCATAACAACCATGAAGCACAAGAACCACCCACAGTGAGTGGACAAACACTCATACAGTATGTGGTGAATTTAAGATTTTAATGCAGTGGCTTAATCTAGCGTTTGATTACCATAAATGGCACAAATTCAGTCACAATGCTTTCACTATGACAATACTGTTATGCCATAACTGACATCCAAGAAAACACTCCTTATATGTTTTAATGCTAGGGATCCCCAAATATGACAATCCCCTATGAGAACACCTTCCTCAAATATATATTGATTTTGTATTAAGTTAATTTAAATGTATAAAGTTTTAAGTTGTATTAATTAGAAGTTTGTATAAAGACTTTTAAAGCCAATAAAAATTTTTTTTAATTCACACTACAGCATATTATAGCATTTTCTTTTTAATATCACAAAACAGATTGTTGTTTTCCTTTTGCTTTTCTGTCAAATTTTCAGAGCTGAAGGTTTGAAAAAGCTCTGAAGTATCTTCCTCTCATAAATAGAAATTGGGAAAGAGCGAGAGAGAAGGGAAGAGAAACATAGAATTCAGTGGTTGAAGACATGTGTAAGTGTTGAGTTTATAAATCATGCTGTCATCACTACATTAGAACCCTCTTTTCTGGTTTACACAGACTGGATTAAAATACGTTGCTGTCACAAAACAACAGAAGCTGCTCTCTTTCCTATTTTCTTGCTCCCTCTTCTCTGTTTACTGTCCCTTTGCTCAAATAACTGCTAATCTAGCTTTAATATAGAACTTCCTGAATGGGGTTTCGGTTTGAAACAACACTGCATACAACCTGAATTTTTCCAGAGTCAGGATAGAGATTAAATAGGTTGGAATTCAGTACGACATTATTATGAGCACATATTGAGCTCTGAGCACTTATTACTGCAGGTTTTTGAATCATATTGAATCAGACATGTCTAATGTTTGACAATATAATGGAAGTCAATGAAAACCAAAATGTTTGATTATCAACATTTGGGAAGAAATTAAGTCATACAAGTTTGGAATGATATGAGGGTAAGAAAATTATGACACAACTAACACAACAATTATGACTTTTACTGCTGCAATCAATTCAGTCAAATTCACCAAAGAATCATTCAATGTGTTTTGATAATCCGGTTCACTGAAAATAATGCAGGTCTCGATTTCTTTGTGAGTAAAGACTGGAATACACTACACGACTTTTAAAACCAGCCATCATACACTTACTGATTTTGTAGCTACAATGAATGAATGAAGCATTTATATAGCGCTTTATTGTGTATTGCTGTACACCCAAAGTGCTTTACAATCATACATTAAACAAGTGAGAATCATACACTACCAGTCTTTAAAGTCGTTCAGATCACAGCAAACTCACACAGAAATGTGCGCCTTGTTGCTAGGAGATGCATGACAAATGAAAACAATGTGTTCTAAAATTGGCTCAAAATATCAAACATGTTTGATATCCTCCAAATGGATGGTTTCATAGTCTGAAGCTAAAAAATCGGAGTCTGTGATCATCATACGCTAGCGATTTTCTATTAAATCTGTCAACTCAAATCTGCAGACTTTCTCTGACTTTCGGCAACTAGTGTCAAATTCTCCAGATTGTAAATCAGGGCAAAAATCTGGACAAACGTTGTGTAGTGTATTCTAGCCTTAAGCCATCACATAATTTATTCAAACAATTCATTCAAAAATACTGAAGTGAATGTTTTTATAAGTAAGTCATTGATTCATTCACTCAAACGTATTTGTTCAAAATATCATTAATTTAGGAACAAAACACCACTTGCTCTGTTTTTACTGCTGCTTTGTTTGGAAATATTTGCATGGGCAGAGCCAAATTAGACAAAGTACCTGGCAATTTTGTATATAAAATGTAAATGACTCAATATTAACCTCTTGCTATTGTTTAAAAGCAATAATCATCCAGCTTGCTTCAATAATATGAGAGAATTATTGGGAGCAATAATGTTTAGTACTTCTAAGGCCATAGGGAATGAAACAGGAGTGCTCAACCTCATTAAAGTGGCAGAAATAAAAGGCCTGTCAATAAGTGTTGGTGTGGCAGGAGTCACGTGACATTTATAGCTGTATTGCTGAAGGAGGACAGTGGGTGATTTGGCCCGTGAATCCTATAGGGTGGGCAAATAGAGGGGAGTCGTTCTGAAACACTAGCCTTACCTGAACCAGACCTTGGCCTCTCTGTCACACCACCAATTCACAAAGCCACGCCATGGGTCACAAAGCACCATAAATATTACCCAACCTGGCAACCCTGAGACCGCACTCCCATAATAAACAATGAAGCCAATAAGTGTCCAGTATGTCACTGCCAGACAAGCCAGTGAGTGTGTAACCCCACGAACAAAACCGCATTCAGCGGCCTCAGGCTCCTTATATAAAGGACTGGAAAGATGAATGTGGTTCGCTGGATGCCAAAATGATTAACTGTATGTGATACTTAATAAAACCAATGAAGTCAAATGTAACTTAATCTATTTATGGAGCAAACGTGAAATGTAGGAGTGTCAAAGCAGTGTTCTATTGATTTATTTGCCATCACCAACATGGAGACATCTCGTAACATTTATACTTATCCGATCCAGATGGCTGCCAGTGCAAAGTTAGATATCAGAGAGACCACAGAAAAACTTTAGAAATATTTAGAAAGATATACAGAAAATAATTTTGAAATATGTAAGGCAGTGACGTAATGCAATTAAAAAAAATGTTTATCTTTAACTTGAATTCATTAGACAAATAGCCAGAAATAAGTCCATGTCTTCTCAAGTGATAGTTGCTAGAACTATTTTAAAAAGTCTGACATGATAAATAAATAAATAAATAAATAGATAGACCAAATGCTGTTTTTAGTCTTTTTTTAATACATACAGTGGGTACGGAAAGTATTCAGACCCCCTTAAATTTTTCACTCTTTGTTATATTGCAGCCATTTGCTAAAATCATTTAAGTTAATTTTTTTTCCTCATTAATGTACACACAGCACCCCATATTGACAGAAAAACACAGAATTGTTGACATTTTTGCAGATTTATTAAAAAAGAAAAACTGAAATATCACATGGTCCTAAGTATTCAGACCCTTTGCTGTGACACTCATATATTTAACTCAGGTGCTGTCCATTTCTTCTGATCATCCTTGAGATGGTTCTACACCTTCATTTGAGTCCAGCTGTGTTTGATTATACTGATTGGACTTGATTAGGAAAGCCACACACCTGTCTATATAAGACCTTACAGCTCACAGTGCATGCCAGAGCAAATGAGAATCATGAGGTCAAAGGAACTGCCTGAAGAGCTCAGAGACAGAATTGTGGCAAGGCTAAGATCTGGCCAAGATTACAAAAATTTCTGCTGCACTTAAGTTCCTAAGAGCACAGTGGCCTCCATAATCCTTAAATGGAAGACGTTTGGGACGACCAGAACCCTTCCTAGAGCTGGCCGTCCGGACAAACTGAGCTATCGGGGGAGAAGACCCTTAATATAACAAAGAGTGAAAAATCTAAGGGGGTCTGAATACTTTCCTATCCACTGTATATATTAGAAAATATATGTATAAAATGTAATTATATAATAAATATAAAATAATAATATAATTAAAATAACATGATAGCATAATATATAAATAGAATAATCAAAATTACATACATTTTCTTCTCATACACTTCATGCAGTAAAAAACTTTGTGAGAATTATTGACCCCTGACAAAATCTGTGACCCGTAAAGTAATTCGATTGAAGCTTTTCCATTTCCATGGAAAATCCTGAAGTACTGTCTCCAAAAATATAATGAATAATACTTAATATTTAATGATGTTTTTAGCTAAAAGGTTAAAGCTATAAGCTTTACAGTACACAAAGTTCAAGTCACTGGTCTGTGTAAGGAACTGCCCCCTAAAGAGTGTTTTTTAAACGAAGACAAGAAGTGACAACTTCAACACCCCCTAATTGCTTCCTGGTGACACAGAGTCCATATATTAATTAGACAAGCTCATTCAAAGCTGGAGGAAAAGGGCTGCATTCCCCCTACCATTACTCCTATTTGGTTTGGCCCACAGCCAACCTAGTGCAGGTATCACATCAGATTAATGACTAGCTTCTCTGTACAGAGGACTTCCTGTAGTGCTTAGCTGAGGCTCCCTGTGCCAGGCGACTTTTTTCCCCCTCTTTATCATTAGATCTGTGGTTTCACGCTCTCTTTCCTTCTGCTTCTGAGTTGTGGCCTCTAATTCCTTCGCTCAAGTAAGGCCTCATGGTTTAAATCAGAATGCAACAAGCTGTTTTGTTACATTCTCTTCTTTTGCTTCTGTAATTTCAGCTCATGAGCGATAAGCTAACTAATGACTGTTTTCAAACAGGTGCTCCGTTGATTTGAAGAGTCAACATTGCCAGGATGCTCAGGAGAAAATGGTTTACACACTTTACATTTAAGTTAAGTCTGAAAGGTATATCATTTTAGATTTGATGCTTTATATTAAAGGGATAGCCCACCTAAAAATGAAAATTCTGTCATCATTTACTCACCCCTCATGTTGATCTAAAACTGTATGACATTTTTCTTCTGTGGAAGACAAAATAATGTATTTTGAAGAATGTTGGCAACCAAATGGTTGTGAGTCCCATTGACTTCCATTGTGTGGACACAAATACTTTGCAAGCTATAACTATTTGGTTACCAACATTCTTCAAAACATTATTTTTTATTTGAGTGGCTATCCCTTTAAAGAAATATGTCTTTATCAGTTGTGGGCCCTCTGAAATGTGACTCATGTGTGCAGTAAGTCACCAACAGAACTCGAAAAGAAAAACAAAACTCTGCAAAAAAACAGAAAAGTAACTATGGAGACAGCAGCGATCGGAGGCAACCTGGGAGAGCTTCAAATCAACCTCAGACCGCAATCCTCCCACACACTAAATCCTCCTCTCTCATCTCTCCTCTCATCTGATACTCCTCCTCCTCCCCTGAACCTGAAAAGTGCAGCACCAGCTTCATGAAGGCCTGATTTAGTGTCGTTCAGAGGCTGCTGAGGGTGGTCAGTTCCACGCTCCGCTGACCCCCTGAGAGTTGTGGAAGTGTGAAGGTTGTGAAAGAGAGCTCTCTTGGGTGATACTTGCCTAAGCGCTGATGGGAAAACAAATGTTGACATTCGTCATCTACAGGACCTGATTCCCCAAAGTCTCATGCACTATAAATTTGATGGTTTGTTGTGTAAAATTAAGAGTCTCCAAATGTAAATTTGCTTCCTAAAGTCAAAACTTCTTACAGTCATGCATTTAAACGTAAAATACATAATACAGCAAGATAAAAAGCTTTCGAGCTGTGTTTTTTAATTTGGTTT